TGCTGGGCAGTGCCTGGACCATTGTGGCTGGGATGCGCTGGGGGTGCGGCTCCATCGCTCCAGGCAGCCCCGGGCTCCATGCCTGGTCCCCACGGCCCTGCCCCGGCTCTGCAGCAGCCTCGGCCCCTGGGGCGGCTAATCCCCGGCTCAGCCCCGTGGGTGCGGGCAAAGGTAGGCGCCTGTGTGGGTGGGGGGCACCCGCGCGTGTCATGTCTCCCTCCTCCGTCACCCCGAAACTCCCCCAGCTGCAGCGCATCCGGTCTGTGGGCGCTGGCTGGTCCCTGGCTGCAGCCAGGCACCTGCAGCACCAGCCCGCTCCCCTCCTCGGGGTCACACATGTCGGTCGGCTCGGTCCGGCCCGGATCGCAAAGCCAGTTTGGGATTGACAGAGGCTTTGATAGCCGGGTCCACGGGTGACAGGCCCCGAGGTCCTGCCCGAGCATCACGGGGTGGGGAATGTGCTGAGAGCAGAGGTATTAACACCACTGACCGGGTCAGACCCTGCTTCAGCGGTCAGCACAAGCACTGCCTGCATTGCCCGAGCTCCTGACTCAGCACAGCCGGACAGGCCCTTCGTGGGGTTAAAAACCATTGCCGTCTGACCGGGCTGTCACGTGCATCCTTGAGTCCTTTCATTGCCCGAGGGATCTGCCCACCCGGATGCCAATCTCATGCCTAGCTCAGTGGTTTTCCACCTCTTTAGACTGGAGGCATCCCTTGTTACACCCCTCAGAAAACGCCAGCTCTTTTTTTGACTACAGAAAAATGCCAGAGCATGTTTATGTTGCAGAGAGCTCAGACAGGCCGCCCCAGGGGCAGAGTGTTTTTAACACTGAATTCCTAGTTGGCCCAACAAAAGAGACCCAAAGACCCTTGTCTGCCTCTGTCCTTAGACCAACACTAGTTGAAATCTCTGGGTTTATCGTGCATGCCGTGTGTGCGCACCTACCCGTGCTCATACCGCGTGGCACCCTTGAGAAGGGCTGGCCTAGCTGGTTTGTCGTGGACCTCGGAGAGCTTTGCCGCCAAGTTCAGTGTCATTGTCCCCGTTTTACATGAGTGGGACGGGGGGTAAAACCCTGAGGTTTATAAAGACCCATCAAGGACTAGAAACCAGGTGGCTTGAACTGCAGCCAGGCATCCCCTCTCCGGACCAGCCACGGGGCCGTTGGGTGCAGGAAGCAACGGCTACAAATTGCACTGAGCACACGATGTTTCAGGTCACGGCGACGTGCGAGGGCATCGCCGCCCTTTTCTCCCAGGAGCAGCGGCCCATTCGGGACGACGCGGGGAAGGAGCTGCGTCGGGACACGATGAAGGAGAACTGCCAGCGCCTGTCTTTGCCGGGTAAGAGCTTGTTGTTTTATGCGGGGCTGTCCCCCTGGGGAAGTGGTCGGTGAGAAGCTCCCCCCTGCCCACAGTGGCATGCACTGGACACAGGCTAAATGCAAGAGCAGCGGAGAAAGCCCATTGTCAGGATCCGTGTGGAGATGAGGGGAAGCTCTGACACTGCGTGCATGTACAACCCCGGTCATGTCACTCAGCCCAGCATTTTCAAACTAGGGGGCCTGAGATTTGACACCTAAATGCCATCTCTTGGCCTCTGCATACCTTGCTCATGCCCTCCCTGCCCAGCCAGGATTCAGACACCGCCATGGACCAGATTAACCCCTGGTGCAATTTATCAGGAATGGGCTGGGCCTGGGATGTTGCTCTGCGTCGCACACAAGGTAACTCCCGGGCGTCTCTTCCCTCCCAGCAGGTGCCTGGCCCAGGAGGGACGCGGGGAGAGACGGAGATCGCAAAGCCGCTTCGGAGAGGCAGGAGCCTGCTGTGCTGCCCCTTAGCAGTGCCCAAGAGGAGGAGGCGTCCCCACGTCCAGAGATGGAGCCAGACAGCAGTGCCGGGGGCACCCCTGAGCGCAAGCAGACACCCCCGGGGGCAGCGGGGCGGCACAATGCGGAAGAGCTCAGCCACGGCACGGCCCACAGGACCCGGGCCCAGCTGGGCCGCGTGGGCGCGCGCTCCTACCCCAGGGGCA